TCCCTGGACACACTGCCTGAATGTGGTGACACTGAGGGAATTTGGGAGTTCTAAGGCAGCAGGGAACACTGACCCTGTCTGGGTCACTCAGAACAGGAATACCCCTCTCTGTTCCTGACTCAGGTCTCTGTTTTCGTTTCTCTGAGCAGTGCTTTGCTGATCACATCCAGAAGGAACTGAAGCTCTTCCCAGCAGACAAAAGGAAAGATGTGGTCATCCTGTTCTCAGCCCACTCACTGCCCATGTCTGTGAGTTCCTCAGGGAAGGGTGTGGGGGCACAGGCAGTTCTGGTGTTCTCTGGTGACCGAGGTGTGTGTGCTGCAGGTTGTGAACCGTGGTGATCCGTATCCTCAGGAGGTGGGAGCGACTGTCCAGAGAGTCATGGAGAAGCTCAACTACTCCAACCCTTACAGGCTGGTGTGGCAGTCCAAGGTAGGAGCATGTGAGCCCTGGCAGGGTTTTACTGAACTGAGAATAAATACACCTTGATTTATATCTGCAGTTATTTGAACCAGTCTTGTTCAGGCTGGCCCAGATTTTGCTCCTTTGAGATTTAAGGTTGGGAAGTGTATCTATTAAACATTTTATGAAGAAATTAAAAAGTACAACCTAAAACAAAAAAAAATACAAATAACTGTCTCTATCCCATACATAATCTGGTCTGTGTCATCCTGCCTAAGGAAATGTGGGTGTTCTCTGTAAGGATGATTTAATGAGTGTTTTTCCTTTATTTCCTGGTTTTTGTTCCAGGTTGGACCAATGCCTTGGCTTGGTCCCCAGACAGATGAGACCATTAAAGGGCTGTGCCAGCGAGGAAAGAAGAACATGTTGTTGGTCCCAATAGCATTTACAAGTGACCACATTGAAACRCTCTATGAACTGGATATAGAGTATGCCCAGGTTTTAGCCAACGAGGTGAGTGCTTTATGAATTTGGGTAGTGCTGCTCTGAAATTACTACTTCTGGCTTGCAGTTTCTAGTTGCTTCTTGCAATATGATTTGGAATGTAAACTGAAAATTAATCTGAAAACCGGGTGGGAATTTGTCTTTCTAGGTTTAAATTTTTAAACCATTACTAGTATTGCTAAAATTGAATGATTTTTGCCAGTAAAGGGAAATGTTGCCCCATAGTTCTTTTTGCTGTACTAAAAACCATGAYACTGCATCATTTTGGGGCAGCTTCTGAATGAAGGAGGAAGATTTTAAAGGCTACCCAGTGAAGGATCTAGCAGATTTAACTTTTTCCTCCTTATTTTTGATTCAGTGTGGAGTTGAAAACATCAGAAGAGCAGAGTCCCTCAATGGAAATCCACTGTTCTCCAAGGTATTTGCTGTGAAGGTTTGCAGTTGTGTTTCCTGCTGCGTGTGGATGTTTTTGGGTAGTTTTAACGTATTTTAAGAGCGGAAATGGAACCCTTTGTGTAGCACAGAGGGTTTTTTGTACGCTGTGTTTTTTTTAGGGGGGCACAGGTTGTGTTAGGGTGTTGGATTCACTCCTCTGACCATTCTGTCCCCCTGCAGGCCCTGGCAGACCTGGTGTGCTCCCAYCTGCAGTCCAACGAGGTGTGCTCCCGCCAGCTGACCCTGTGCTGCCCTCTCTGTGTCAACCCCGTGTGCAGGGAGACCAAGGCGTTCTTCACCAGCCAGCCACTGTGASCGGGGAGCTGCTGTGACACCGAGGGGACACTGCCCAGGGAGGACAGGCCTGGAGCAGCCCCTCCTGGCTGCTCACACACCCACGGGCTGCTCAGCTCGCTGCTTTATCTCCATGGCAGCGCCAAGAACGTGGCTCTGCTGACGTTTTTCTTGTGTTTTCTTTCTTTGAGGAGAGGTGTAGAAAGTAGGGAAATAAGGGCATTTATTATGGGAGGAGATCTCGTGTCATCCGACTCCAGACGGACTTGGCGTGAGCCCGGCAGTGTGCACTGAAGAACATACACGACTTTTTTTCAATTAGCTTCTATTTCTATGCAGGGATTTATTTGTATGCAGGGTGGTCACGAGTGCATTAACTTGCCAGGTCAAATGTACAGGTATTTTGGTTTTGCTTAAGTTGCAATCTGTCTGTTCTGAGAGGGACTTTGCAGCTGGCTTTGGAGACCTTGCAAATCAAGTGACTTCTAAAGCTTTTTGTTAATGTGTATATATCCTTTTTTTTTAATTAGAACAGAAAGATAAGGCTTTGTTCTGTTCTGGTTTTCTCCTGCCAGAAACTTCCAGTGAAAGCTCAGCTGGGATAGTAGAACGCACAAAACTTGTTTACATTTCCTAGAAAAACATTTTTGTGATCTACAGRAAAGTATTTGAAGAGCATAAATTGAAAGGAATTAGCCTGCTTGGGTGACACTGGAGAACTTGTTCATTGAAACTGCATATTTCWAATCTAGCAGGAGCATGTGTGGAAACATGTTGGCTTATCTGTTAAGCAGAATGGGCTTTTAAAATTCTTGTTTTTATTAGAAAGGGCTTTCTSTGTTTGGTGAAGTAAATTTAGGAAGTCAGGCTTGTTTATAGATCCACTCTGTGCTTTCTACTGTGCCACAGTGCTGTGGTTTTGTGGGATACCTATGGAGCACCATAGGTAGGACTGATCTGGTTTAATTGCTGTTATTTAAACAGAGGTGATCAGTCAGGAGTAATTTCCAGTTTAACATTGCAGCTGCCTGAGAACAGGCTGCCCTAGGCTGGGGCTCTCCTGAAAGCTGCCAGCACCCAGCAGGGCTGAGCTGGCCAGGGCCTCCAGCACTGTGTCCCCTGTCACACAGGGCAGGGCAAAGCTGTGACCGTGTCCCGTGGTGTCCCGTGGCACTCTGGGGGCCAGCTGGCACCTCTCGGGGCACACGTTTACTTGATGTCCTTAGCACTGAAATGCCAGGAGCTGGGCACTGCAGGCTGGCTCCTGGCAATTGCTGGTGCTCGGGAAGCAGATGCCATGCTGATCTGCTCAGGTAACCATGAGGCAGGAGCACTTTGGAGCTCTGGTCTTTTGAAAACAGTGTATTTAAAGAGAGAAGAGGCCACTGGTGGTGTTTAGTTGGAAGAATGAAAGGTGAGATACTGAAGGAACAGATGGAGCCAAGYGCTTCCATGGAGTGGTGTAAATCCCTAATACCTCTGGAGAGTTGCTGCACTGCCATAGCTGCTTCCAGGGTGAGACAGACTGAGATTCCTTCAGTGCCAGAACCTCCTGTCCCTTACAGAAAGAAGTCTTCCTTGACCCTTCCTTCATTCCTGTGCCTGTTTCAGTGGCAGGGAGCCAGAGTTTCTCTTCTCCCTCTCTTGCTCCACCCTTGGTCTGTGCTCTGCCTCGGCAGGATAAAGGAGCACTGGGAACACTGGCCTTACAGCTCTGCTTGGACAAAGGACTTTCTTCTCTTCTCTTCTCTGTGTGACACTTAGGGGTCAGTAGAAAACAACCTGGTCTGTCACATCTTCCTACTCACTGCTGTTTTCTGACACAGACCTTGAGGTAGCCCAGGCTGTGACCACCACATTTACAAAGTGTGGAAAGCGAAGGTTAACTTCATATGAACCTTGTGGTACTATAAATACAGATGGCTTTTCATTTCCATACTGGAGAGAGTCCTGAAAACACTTGCTGGCACTGATTCTGAGGCATTACATTTGTCCCCAGTAATAAAAGCTACTTAAAATTCACTTTTGAGCGTTCTAACCACAAGTGGGATAATTACTCTGYTGCTGCTATTAGACCATGGTGTAGAAATCACTTAATTTTCCAGCTTTTAGCAGATGGGGCTGTTTGCTGTTAAAGGGTGGTTTTCACAGAGGTATCAAGGAGTTCCTCATCTCTCAAGTTTCTTTCTAATCTGTCACTCGGTCCTGGCTGCATTTCAGAGAAGGTGGAAGCTTCCCCAAGGTGCTGTGACACCCAAAGGTGTGGGGCCAGGGTTTCCCTGGGAATCCCTAAAAGCTCAGTAATTTCTCCCTTTCCACCACCCCAGAGAGCTGGGAATCACCATAAAGTGTAAGCTGCAAGAGAAAGCAGCTCCTTTGATTTTGTTCATGCCAGATGTGTACAGATACTTGCTTTTAGCCCAACATATGCATTTCAGATTGACCAAGGACTTCCATTCGATGTAACACAACCAATTTGTGTAATCCTACTGTGTGTGGTTTGCCATAAGGATGGAATTGCAATTAAAGTTTTTTTGAAGAAACAATGGAGCCGTGCATCTTTGTAAGAGTCCTTTRTGCTGGTGTTTGGGTTCCCTCTGCACCTCTGCTGTCAGGCTGGGGTGAGTTACACTCTCCACAGCGACTGGAGAAGATGGGGAATCAGGGGTTTGCCCTGCTTTGGGATCCCACCTGTGACASATAATTTATTCCTTTCCCTGTTAGTGGTCTCTGGACAGCTTCTTGCTGATGTTACAAATTAAGTGCTTGATTGATTATTTTCTGGAGCAGGATTGGAGCTGTTGGAYGCTTAAGCTGATCCATTAGTGAGCTCTTGTGGCTGGGTTGTGACAGGGGAGAGAGTGGGATGGATGGATGGAAGGTGGGAAAAATGGAGGAGAGAAGTGATGGTCCTTCTTTTTCTGTGGAATCTCAGTCCAAGCTTTGCTGTTTTGCCTTTGAGAGGGCATTTGGCTGTGTGAGCGTGGCAGAACTGTAGCAATATCATATTTGAATCCAAAACCATCCCTGACATTGTGGAAGCACTTTTCCTTCCCTCCTTTCTGAAGGGTTCATGCTCCTCCTGCTCTTCTTCTTGGCTTGTGTTTTCTTGAGCAAATTCCTGAGCACGTATGTGCTGCACTGTCTCTCCTCCTGTGTGGAAGTACTTGTCTCCAGCAGCACAAGCTGGGGTGTGCTGGGCAAGGGATTTATTTGTAAATCAGCATTTTGAGTCCTCGGGAGCAGGTTCTGCCCCTGCCCATAGAGCACACGGATTTGTAAATTTGTGCTCAGCAGTAAGTGCCAGGAAAAGGTTATTTAATTTGTGTCCTCTGGCCGGGCTGACAGACATCCCTTCCATGACTGCAGGGAGATGGATTGTCTGTCCAGAGAGGGATCATCTCTGAGATTCATGGCCTTTGATCCCAGGGCTCAGAGGTGGCTCCGGGAGCAGCTGCCCAGTGACATCTGAGCCCCAAAGGTGACAGAGCACAGG